TATATATATATATATATATATATATATATATATTTCCTGTATCTATCACCCCCTCATTCTCTCCAAACACATCACGCAGCCTTTTTCTTCTCTCAGTGCCCGATCTAATTTCGATCTCGCCAAATATCTCGTCCTCTTTCTCTTCCCGATGGCGCAAGCCAGAAAAATGATCGCCTTTCCTTTACATTCCGATCACCCCCCATTCGCGCGATCATCATCACCCTGTCGTCTCTGTCCTACTCGTGAAACGCCGTCGTCATCATCGCCTCATCGCACCACCAATCGTCGATGAACAGTAAACCCATCGCCTCACGTCGACTGTAACTTCTCGACGAGACACCCTGCCCGCGAACAGATCCTCCGCCACGCCTCGACCAACTCCTCACGGTGCGAACACAAGTTCCATCGCACCGCGACGCCACAGCAGAAGCCCCGCCGCGCCGCGACGCCACCAGCAGCGAGCCAGCGCCACCGCTGCTCCCCCTCCGGGGCCGCAGCACTGCCGGCGAGCCTCCCTCCATCACACAGCTGCAGCGCTATCGCCGTGAGCCCTCGGCTGCTCCTCCGACAACTTCACTCTATCCGTTGCTCCTCCCTAGCTGCGAGTAGTCCTTTCCCAGCGAGCACTCTCACGACCAACAGGGCCCCGACGACTCGTCTTTAGCCACACCTCCTCCGCGAGACGGAGCATCGCCGTTGAGCCACGAGCAACCTTCGACGTGCCATTCGTTCTTCCTTCGTCCCGTTTTTCGTACGATTTCCCGAGAATGGTATCTAGTCGAATCCCGTCTCGTTAAATCGTGTATGTTCATCTCGTGTTATGTGGTTAACGTGATTATTTATGTTAAGTTGAGTACTTTGTTAATATGATTTGGAATATGTCGGGCCTCGATATGATATTGTGTGAATTTGGAATTTAATGTGTTGTTCATGTTTTGAAGATCTCTTCGATTAGGGAATCGAACGAGACCTGGAAACTCATGTAAGGCTGTGGATTTTGGAACCATGTCGAGTCCTTTGCCTTATGGGAAGTGTTGATATCAAGATTAAATATCTTGAGATAAAGGTTAGATTAAAGGTTTTATAAAGTCCAAAGCACGAACTGGGTCTTTGACGATATAAAACGAAATAGATGACACCTCGGAAATATCATCTCGGTTCTCATACGACGTTCTGAGAAAAACAGTAGATCCTAAAGGTCGTCAGAATGAAACATTAAAACCTCGAAATGGCACCTCGGTTAAAGAACAGCTTGTCAGGAGGTCGTAGAAGACTGAAACTCTACCAAAATGCCGACATCGCGAAATGGCACCGACTTCAACCCGACAGAAGTGACGCTTGTCACACAGATAGAGGAGCGTCCATGCTCATCATTACCTAAAAAGCTTGCCTACGTCATTGCCGCCCCTAAACTGTCAAATCTTCATTAAAACGAAGCTGATTTGTCTAGGGATGTGTGCCAAGCATAACTATAAATAGCAACATTGAAAACGATACGAGGATTCGGCAAAAGTTATAGAAACTCACATATTTATCTCGGTTTTCTTTGTGTACCGACTTGGTTTACATTGAAAAAACCGACTTCCCAATTCTGTAACCGACTTCAAGATTTTCAATAAAAATCTCATTTTCTGCAATCTTTACTGCAATTTTTACTTTAATTACATTGATTAAATCTGTTTATCAACAGGAAGGCCTCGGACGAAAATTATATGTTATGTAATATGTGTGAAATTGTCGAACTCGATTGTACGCTGTTTTAGGCTTAGAATTATTAAAAATCTCACACTGCTCAGATTGCATTAAAATTTTGAGGGTCATGTTTTCTTCTGAACATCAAGTCTGTGTAAAAGTTTCGTAATTTTTAAAGGCCTGTAGCTATTTTAAATAAATAAAGTGATTTCTGATCAGAATCATGTTCAATGCATAATAAATTGGTCCGTGCTTTATTTGTGCTGAAATATGAGTATGTTGTGCCTCTGCCATGTTTATGAGCTGTGTAAAATTTTTAAAATTTTTGGACTAAGTTTGATAGGGTTAATAATTTATTTTCTGATTTTGCAGAAAGTTGTTTTATTTATGATAAATCAGATAGTTGTTGAAAAATTCTGAAACTTGGCTGGAGTATTTTTTTTATGTATATTTTCATGCTGTAAAAAGATGAGAATTTTTGGAGCTCAATTTAGTTCGGTTTTAATTGAAATTTGATAATTGCTGAAACTTGTATGAATTTTTACAATTTGTACAGTTAGTGTCCAGGGTTGAAATTTTTTTATGTTGTCACTCTCATGCTATAGTTTGTGATATTAAAATATCAGGTCATGATTCATTCATTAGGTTTAGATGTAAATTCATGTTTGGTTTTGTTGTTATTTTGTATGAATTTTATAAAATAATGTACTTCGAATTTGAGGCTGAAACTTGGTGGTTTTTCTAAGTACTGGGAGGTGTATTTTTGGATAAAATGTCAGAGTTTAATTCATAAGGAAACCTGACCAACTAATTTCATATGTTTATTGGTTATTATTTTCAAAATATGATTTTGAAGTTAAAATCTGTAGTCGACTTGCTTTTCGTTTTGTTGTGTGTTTGACTTGGCCAATCCTTAGAGGGATTTATGTGAACTACCATATGTGGTTTGGTCGATTATAGTGCCGAGTCTAAGTGTTCCAACGTCCACAGGACTTCACGAACTTAGTCGAATCAAGTTCGACTAAGTCTGATTTGTGTTTTTCGTTTAAGTCAAGATATTAATTATAGGATCTTGACATGATGTAGGTGTTTGAGGAGTCAAGCCTCGACCCACGTCTTTTCTGAATTTGCTATCATCAATCCGAATTACCGGTGGGTTGTTATTCTAAAATTACATGTGCAATTTGTGTTTAAATATGTTTTTTTGATTTGGTGTGATCTATGTATGAACGTGAATATGTAGCCTATCGATGTGAACTATTATGATGGCCATCGGTACGGTTGTCCCTGTCGATGTAATACGTTTGCCCGTTGCGAGGCAAGTCTCCTTAAGACCTATTATGAAAGGCCGTGTCCTTGCGTGGCACGTACTCTCGCCGTTAGGGTAATGAATCCTCTTTCCGCGACTATTATGAAAGATGTGTACACAGAAGTATTTATGTTATGTTATGTTGGAGATGAGACATCTGTGATATTGTTTATGTTCATGCTGCGACCATGCCTATTTAACATATTATGAAATGTGCATTACATAGTGTGAGCATTATTTTCCTCTTATGCTCACTCCCACCTGATCTTAACGGATGCAGGTTAAGCAGTTGACGGATGACGAGGCAAGGCGAGTGGGTGGTCTTTAGTGTTATTTATTATTATTTGCTTCCGCATTTATGAACCTCGAGTTTGGGTTATTTGAACATGCTGATTGAATTGCTGAATATGTTGAGCTGGTTATTATGAAAACCGTTGGATTTGTTTATGTTGAAAAACATTTCCATGATATTTTGAGTATGTGAATAAGAATGTCATGACGTTTATGTTTATGTATTCGTGGTTGAGAATGTAGTTAATGAAAACCTTTGAAAATCGGGTAATGAATCCCCGTTAGTTTAGACACGACTTGAACTATGTTTCGAAATGAATGAGTAACGCCAAATTATTTATGAACCGAAAAATGAATTTCGAAAAATTTTACTGTGATTTTTGAAAAAGACATGGAGTTTCTTTTAAAGTCGTTTGGGGCGTTACAAAAACAGACTATAAGATCATATAGACAATTGAAGTCCTAACAACACGTTGTAAAAAATATTTTACGGAATGGTATTGACAACTTCTTTCACAATGGTCACTCGTGTGAACAAAAGAGTTCATTCAATAGAACCAATTTCCAAACATGACAAAATGGATTATAAAAAAATTCCTTTACTAGATAACAACTTCAATCAAAAGGCTCGACATTGTCTATATTGTTCCTGTAATTTTGAAAACACAAATGAACTTCTGTTTCCACTCAGTCTACCATTTATTCTAAGCTATAACCACTCCAGTTCAATGCAGATCAAATCAATTAATTTTTTTTTTTTTAATAAAAAATGCAGTATGAACTTGCTAAATCAATTGTGTCCACTAACTTTAACTACTACAAATTACTAGAAAAATTTCAATCGAAGCACAAATATAAATGGACAAAGCTTAAAATTTTACTGTCTTAGACCCAAAAGTTGCAAGTGAACAAACTTGCTTCACATAACCTAAAGACTGGCAGTTTGAACTGCTGCAACCACCACGTAACCCAACACCAACACCCCCTCAATAAGCATGAAAGAGTTTGAAGAGTTTGGAAATTTGACCTAGAGTGAATTATTGTGTGTTGTGAGTTAATTTGTTTTCGGTGTAATTTGATAAAATTCATATCCTATATGTGGTGATTTTTTAACTTGATATAGAAAGTACACTTTTTATATAGGGTGATTTTATTGCATATAGATAGTTTATGTTACAAAAGGCAGTAGACAATGTCACATGTAGATAAACAAATTTGGGTTAATATTATTTTAAAAATGAGAGTAAAGTTCAAAATACAAGAATATCCAGTAGTACAAGAGCGGTCATGACAACTTCTAGTACTTCACTTATATTTGTACATGTGTATAGAATCGTCACTATTTAAAGGAAATGGAGGGTTTGAGAGACTCGAACAATAAAGTCAAAGTGGAAACTAGTATTAATATCAAAGTTCTGAAAACCGGACCGGACCAGCAGGTTCGACCAGAGGGCCAGATCGATGATTAGAGCCGGTGACATCCAAAACCGGGAGATAACCGTCTGAACCGGGAGAAAACCGGTAGAACCGGTAAACCGGAATCGGTTGGAACGGGTGACATGTTTGCATAAATTGTCCCGCTCATGAAAAATCCGAGTGAAACTCGCGGCCAAATTCATTGTGCAGAAGCCCGAATCTGGCCGTTGCAGAAGATCTCGTCCGCAGAGACCGTGATGGCATACCGAAGCCTCTCCCCACAAAAGCGAACTCAGATTCGCCGTTGTCCTCTTCCGCGACGACACCGCTTCAGGTTTCTTCAGATTTCCAATTCTCCTCTCGCTCCCCCAGGTAAAACTCGCTGCCAAATTCGGAATCGAATTCCCTGGGTACGCCATCGGTTCCGGCGTGTGGTGTAGCTGTTCTTGAAGCTTCGAACATAATTTGGGATTTTTCTCTCAATAATTTATTAACTTTGCAATTTGATTTTTACTTCTCATAGTGGTAGGAGTAGGTTTAGCGTGAAAAGTAAGTTTGACTTTTGTGTGTGCCTTTCCAACTTTTAAGAGCATCTCCAACCCGATTCTCTATCTATACAGTTTCTACAGTAAAATCCCACCACTTTTACAGTTTCAACAGTGCCAACAACTCCAACTCATTCCCTCTATACTTCCCCTCTAAAAGAATATTCCAAGCATATTTTTTTTCTAATTTTATTAGTATATTAAATAATCTCTACAAATTATATTTTAATGCATTATACTTGCTAAAATTTACATATCTATGAATATATATTAATTATTGATTAATAAGATTAATTAATAAATTTAAATCAAAATCATAAATCACAAAGTATTCAACTTATAAGTGAATTTAAATACTAATTAGTATTCTATCATATTAATTAATAAAGTATTCAATTTTTTATTACACTACTTAAAATTCTACCATATTAATTACAATAATTAAGTTCAAAATATTTATAAAAATATTTTAATTCAACGCATAAAACTAATTAATTCAATTAGCCCAATTGTAGTTATAAAAGGCCCACCCACAATACATCTAAATAGCCCAAATACAACCCAACTTCATTTTTTAACCAAACAAAAAAAAAAAATTTATAGCAGATGAACAGTGGAACGATTGCCAAACCGTTCCACAAATCCCCTCATCCGTTTCCTGCACAAATAGAGGGCTCCATTGGAGATGATTTTTCTCCAACCATGAAGTTTCCACTTGCTATAGAGGATGAGTTGGAGATGCTCTAATAGATATATACATATACTTTATATTTTATTTTGTATTAATAAACTGAATAATATTTGAAGATTTTATATTGTATTTCTTGGTTGAACTAATATAGAAACTTCTATTTTGATGATTTATAATATTTTGTATATGTAATTTAATACTTAAAATACTATAAAATATTATAAAATATTTATAAATATTAAGAAATTAAATACCGGTTCAACCGGTTTAACCACTGGTTGGACCAGTGAACCATTGAACCAGTAGCTTGACCGGTTCGATGAACGGTTCGGTTTTCAGAACATTGATTAATATTTTAAAAAGAATGAAGGGAGAGATAGTGAGTAATAAGGATAAAGGAGATTTTTTTTCCTCAAACGAGCATTTTATGAATCAAGAAATTGAGTACATCTGAGATGTCAACTGTGATTGCCTGACCCATCTCCCCTTGGAATTACACGAACAACCAACGAAAACATCATACTACCAAAACACTCCCATTAAGGGAGGCAACAAAACTTTCAATACTAGAAATTATAACTTGAACAGAATTGGAACTTCCCGAAAAACGGAAGATAACGCGGGTGTCACAACCTAGACATATTGTAAACGATATCTTTGTGGAATTAATCTCTTGCGTATATTATTAACATTAGTTCATAAAATTGTTATAAAAGTAAAATAAGTTTTTAATTGGTCATAAAGAAGAGAATAAATTTTAGATTTAGATTTATTTGCAATTTTGCAGCTACTATAAGTTTAATTGCATATGTACCTAAAACTATTGAATTAATTGGAGATTTACTTGATTTCAGTTACCATACAAAAAACGTTGACTAATAAGAGAGAGAAATGAAACTAAATAACTTACTCATTTAATTCCTTAATTCGCGCAACTAGAATTCATTAATTCACGCAGCTGTCAGGTGGTATATATTGCGTTTATGTTAGTATATATTCAATATATGTGCGCAACTGGAATTCCTTAATTCACGCAGTCGTCAGGTGGTATATATTGCGTTTATGTTAGTATATATTCAGTATATGTTGCAATCAGTTTATGCTAAATATAAATTGATTTTAAACATAAAAATTAAGTCTCGCGATAACTTTCTTTATGATATACTGAAAATATACTGAATATAAATCATACATATACAAAAAAAAAAAAAAAAACATCAGTTTATGCTTTGTCAATATAAACCATACATACA